CGTCTTTTTTCGTCCTTTTTCGTCCTCTTCGTAGTTTTTAATCCTTTTCGTCCTTTTCGTCCTTTTCGTCTTTCTTCGTCCGTCCATCTCGTCCTTTTCGTCCTCTTTCGTCGTTTTCGTCCTTTTTCGTCCTTTGTCGTCCTCTTCGTTCTTTTTCGTCCTTTACGTCCTTTACTTCCTTTTTCGTCCTTTTTCGTCCTTTTCGTCCCTTTTTGGTCCTTTTCGTCCTTTTTTGTCTTTGTCGTCCTTTTTCGTCCTCTTCATAGCTTTACGTCCTATTTATCCATTTTCGTTCTTTTCGTCCTTTTTTGTCCCTTTCGTCCTTTTTCGTCCTTTTCTTCCTTTTTCCTCCTTTTCGTCCTTTTTCCTCCTTTTCCTCCTTTTTCGTCCTGTTTCGTTCTTTTTCCTACTTTCCGTCTTTTTTCGTCCTTTTCGTCCTTTTTTTGTCCCTTTCGTCCTTTTTCCTCTTTTTCGACCTTTTGGTCCTTTTCGTACTTTTTCGTCCCTTTCGTCCTTTTTCGTCCTTTTCGTCCTTTTCGTCCTTTTCGTTCTTTTCGTCCTTTTTCCTCCTTTTCGTCCTTTTTTGTCCTCTTCTTCCTTTTCGTTCTTTTTCGTACTTTCGCCCTTTTCGTCCTTTATTCTCCATTGAATCTGTCACAACCTTGAGAACTTCGAAAATTTCGACTTTACGAAAGCTTTGAGAATTTTGAGACTTCAAGAATTTCAAAAACTCGGAGAATTGTGATACCTTTGAGAACTTCAAAACTTTAAGTGTTAAAATTTTTAAGAACTTTAAAACTTTCAGATATCTGTGAACTTTGAGAACTTCGAAAACTTTTCGAGAATTTTGAAAGCTTTAACTTCGAGTTTTGAGAAATTTAAAAACGATTTGAACTTTAAAATTTTTAAGAACTTTAAGACAACTTTGAAAATTTTGAAAACTTCGAGAACTTTGAGAAGGTTGAGAATTTCAAAAATTTCCTGAACTTTGATAAAGTTGAAAAAAATGATCATTTCAAAAATATGAAAAACTTTAACCACTTTAAGGTCATTTTGAACTTCAAGAGCTTTAAAAATTTTTGAAGATTTTTGTAAACTTCGAGGACGTCAAGAACTTTGAGAAAAATTTCTATGATTTCGAAAGCTTTGAGAATTTTGAAAACCTTAATCACTTTAAAAATTTCAAAAACTTTAAAAAATTTCGAAACCTTTGGCAATTTTAAAACTTTACGGCTTTAAAAATGTGTTTAATTTTTAAGAACTTGAGGAAATTTCGGATATCTGTGAACTTTGAGAACTTCAAGAACGTTGGAAATTTCGAGAACCATGAGAACTTCAAATATTTAAACACTAAGAACTTTGAGAGCTTTGAAAACATCTTCAAGTATTTTAAAAATATTGAGAACTTTGAGAATTTTGGGAAGTTCGGAACCTTCAAGAATTTCGAAGATTCCGAAAAGTTTGGAACTTTTGTGGACTTTGAGGACGTCGAAAACTTTGAGAATTTTGAGAAATTTAAGAACTTTAAGAATTTTGAGAATATTAAAAGCGGCTTGAACTTTAAAAGCTTTAAGAATTTTAAGACCTTTCGGAGGTTTAAGAATTTTAACAACTTTAAAATAGAATTAGAAATAGAATTTAGAGAACTTTGAGAACTTCAAGGGTTTTAAAGATTTTGAGAACTTTGATAATTTTAAAATATATGATCAAATTCATGAAAAATGAAAAACTTTAAGCACTTTCAGGACTTTCAGAATTTAAAAAACTGCGATTTTTGTGAGCTTTGAGAATTTTGACACCTTTAACTTCAACATTTCAAATATTTTAAAAACTTTAAGAATTTTGAGAACTTTAAAAACGACTTTAACTTTAAAATATTTAAGAACTTTAAGAATTTTCAAAAAAATTGAGAATTTTGACAATTTTGGAAACTTCGAAAACTTCAGAGACTTCGATAACCGCGAAAATTTCAAGAACCTTGATAAACTTGAAACTTTGATCATTTCATAAAATATGAGAAACTTTAAGCACCTTCAAGACTACAAAAATTTTGAGATTTTTGTGAACTTTGAAAACTTCGGAAACAGCTTTGAGAATTTTGAGACTTAAAGAATTTCAAAACTTTACAAATTTAAAAGTGTTAAAATCTTTAAGAGCTTTAAAACTTTTCAGATATCTGTGAACTTTGAGAACCTTAAAAACGATTTGAACCTTAAAATTTTTAGGAACTTTTAAAACATTGAGAACTTCGAAAACCTCGAGAACTTAGAGAACTTTGAGAACGTTGAGAATAATTCAAAGATTTCGATAACTTTGATAATTTTAAAATATAAGCACTTTGTGGTCTCCCAGAACTTTAAGAGCTTTAAAAATTTGAAGATTTTTGTAAACTTTGAAAGCGTTAAGAACTTCCAGAAAAATTTCTAGAAATTCGAAAGCTTTGTGAATTTTGAAAACTTTGATCACTTTAAAAATTCCAAAAATCTTTGAAAACTATAAAACTTTACAACTTTACAAATGTGTTTAAGAACTCTAAGTAATTTTAGATATCTGTGAACTGAGAATTTCAGGAGAATTTCGGGACCCAAAACTTTAAACTTCAAACACTTTAAAAACTCTGAAAGTTTTAAAAAAATCTTTAAGAACTTAAAAATATTGAGAAATGTGAGAATTTCGAATATTTCGAGAACTTCCATGAATTTGAAAACTTTAACAATTTTAAGAACTTTAAAAACTTTGAGACTTTCGTGAACGTTTAGGACGTTGAAAACTTGAAGAATTTCGACAACAACAACATTTAAAATTTACTCGTTTTCTGAAAAGCTCGAACCGCTAAAATTTTATTATATTCTTTTGTAATAACTGCCTTCCGAACTTTATATTTCAGATACGCTGAGATGAGCTTTCACCCCATTGCAACTGCCAGCTTCGAGTAATACTGGTTGCCTATCCTGGAACGAAAACTGACTGAGACTTAAGTGTCTTCAAGCACAAAATTCATATACATATCGGTTCACTCCACTCTCGCCTCAAACTGATGATTCACGCACCGTCTCCGTCAAAATTCTCCTCCGAGTCTTTTTTATCCATGTGCCAATATCGGAGGCAGGCGTTTGCACTGTCATCGGTAAATAGCAACTTCTTGCTTCGTCACGTAGGCGGATAATTAATACGCCGCCACCACAAAAAATATAATTACGCTTGTCCCGCGATAGAGTCCATTTGGCGCGATAGCACGGAGAGTGAATCTATTTGGGAGTGTGCCAGCGAAGGCGAGCAAAACGAAATGGGTATTTTGCATCGAAGACAAAGGACGAAGAGTGAAGTTGACACATGCGATCTGTGTTTCATCGTGATTATTATCACTTCCGACAGGGCCGGCTTTGTCTAGTCGAACATGTGTTGAGTTGTAAGACATCTTAATTTAGCGTCGAGAGTAATTACGGGTTTACATGGGAGAGATAATGGCCGGTAGTATTTTTTCTTTAATTGACACATTGGATATTGGATCGAACAACTCGGGGGAATTTGGTCAATTTTTGGCGGTTTTGACGAGTTAAGGAATTTGTGCAGAATTCCGTATGGGGCTGGCGTGGGTGGCGCGGAATCGTGGCGAAGAAATTTGAGACTAAGTGTTCTTCGGTAATTATTTCCAATGATTTATTAGTTGTTGGGAAATCGGTTTCGACACCGACGCTATTGATGCGTTGGTTTGATAATTTTCTCATTACCATTACTGATTGTTTTACAACGTGGCTCAAAATGAATTATCTTTGGGAGTTTGTTACGCTTTTAATTGGGAAAGTGCCAGATGTTAGTTTACGTACGGTGGAATTTAATTTACGTTGGCATTATATGGCACTGGATATACGTGGGGGACTATAGGTGTGCACGTGTCATCGAAGTTCATTGTTTTAATTTTTTTTAATTTTTGGATGTGATCGTGGTCGCTCTTATGAGTTTACTATCGCTGAAAAATGGAAATTTTGCCGGATTTGATTACTTTAATAATAATAAAAAAATAAATGTAAATTAAAAATCTTTGGTGACTCGTTAGATTTTCCAAATTCTGAAGACTCTAGAGTTACTACATTACCAAAGTTGTTTAAACCCTATAAGTTCTTTAAATTCTCCGGAAATTCTAGACGTTTAAAGTATCTGTACTGGAAAGGTGTAGATTCTTAAGGCTCTAGATTCTCTTTAATCTGGAAGTCCTCAACACTCTGTAGATGCCCTAAAATCACTACACTTTTACAGCTTCAAAGTCTCTAGACTCGGGTTTTTTTCCACATTTTTTACTTTCTTGGAGTTCTAGACCATGTAGGTTCACCAAATTCTCTACATTATTTACTTTTTCTAGACTAAATATCATAAATTCTCTTTAATTTGGAGGACCTCTATATTTTGTAGATTCCCTAAATTTTAAGCTGTCTAGATTATCTCTACTCCGAATGCTTTCTAGCTCTAAACTTTCTGGATTATTTAGAATCTCCATTTTCTAGCGCCTCTACGATCTCTAGACTAGTTAGATTCTCTGTACTCTGTAGATCCTCTAGATTCTAAAATTGTCTAGACTTTCGTTACTTTTTGAACTTCCTAGCCAGTGTAAGCTCACCAAATTTTCTAGGTCATATAGATTCTCTAGATTTTGTAGATTATCCATCCAAACTCTTCAAATGTTCAAAATGTAGAGTAAAGTCTAGAGTATCTGTGCAATCTAGAGTTTAAAGTATTCAGGAACTTAGAGCTTTAAGAGTGTCGAGAAACCTTAGAGTCCTGAAAAACTACAGAATCTAAAAAGGGTGTAGAGTCTAGAGGTTTTGGAGAAGTTGGAGGACAGTGAATCTAAAGAGTTTAGAAAGTGTAGAAATTCTACAGGGTTTAAAAAATTTATAAAATCTAAGGAGTCTATATAATCTAGAAAATTTGACGAATCAAAAAAGCATACAAATCTAGAGAAAGCTTAAACTAGTGGGTGTAAAAAGTTCAAAGAGTGTAAAATGCCTGGAGAATGTTAACAGTTTAGAGAATCTAGAGTTCCTAAAAAGTCTAAAATATATAGAGCTTCAAAAAATTCAAAGATATGTAGAGATTTCAGAAAACTAAGAAATTGTAAGGAGTACAGAAATTCTACAAAATATGGAGTGTCAAAAATTCTAGAAGACCCAAAAAGTTTAGAGAATTTAAATAATCTAGAGTCCAAAGAATCTAAGACGTGTAAAAAAACGAAGGTCTGAAGTATGTAAAGAGATTAAAGAGTCAAAATGGTCCAGAAAATTTAAAGAGTTTATACGACCTAAAGAGTCTAAAGAGCCTAGAAAGTCCAAAGTCCAAAAAATCGAAAGAATCTAAAGAGCCTAAAGAGTTTAAAGAGTCTAGAGAGTCTAAAGAGTTTAAAGAGTCTAAAAGTCTTTAGGCAAAAGAGGAAAAAGAGCCTAAACAGCCTAAGGAGCTTAAAGGGTCTAAACAGCTTAAAAAGGCTAAAAAATCCAAAGAAGCTTAAGAGTTTAACTGGTCTACAGAACCTAAAGAGTCTAAAGGCCTTAAAAAGTTTAAAGATTGTAAAGAGCCTGGAAAGCCTATATTACCCAAAGAGCCTACACAATCTAGAGAGTCTAAAGAGTCCAAAGGGTCTAAAGAGTCTAAAGAGTCTAAAGAGTCTAAAGAGTCTAAAGAGTCTAAAGAGTCTAAAGAGTCTAAAGAGTCTAAAGAGTCTAAAGAGTCTAAAGAGTCTAAAGAGTCTAAAGACTCTAAAGACTCCAAAGGGTTTAAAGAGTCTAAAGAACCAAAAGAGCCTAAACAGCCTCAGGAGCTTAAAAGGCCTAAACAGAGGCTAAAGAATTCAAAGAGTCTAAAGAGTTTAAAGAGTTTAAAGCGCCTAAACACCCTAAAGAAGCTAAAGAATCCAAAGGGTCTTAAGAGTTTAAATGGTCTAAAGAGCCTAAAGAGTCCAAAAAGACTAAAGACTTTAAAGATTGTAAAGAGTCTCGAGAGTCTATATTACCTAAAGACCCTACAGAATCTGAAGAGTGACTCTAAAGGATCCAAAGGATCTAAAGAGTCTAAAGAGTCTAAAGAATCTAAAAGTTTAAGGAGCCTAAGGAACCTAAAGAACCTAAAAAATGTATTATCTGAAGAGTACAAAAAGTCAAAGGAGTCCTAGAGAGCTAAAAAGAGTCTAAAAAGTCTAAAAAGTCTAAAGAGTCCGAAGAGTCTAAAGACTCCAAAGAGTTTAAAGAGTCTAAAGAACCAAAAGAGTCTAAACAGCCTCAGAAGCTTAAAAGACCTAAATAGAGGCTAAAGAATTCAAAGAGTCTAAAGAGTTTAAAGAGTTTAAAGCGCCTAAACAGCCTAAAGAAGCTAAAAAATCCAAAGAGTTTAAATGGTCTAAAGAGCCTAAACAGTCTAAAGGGACTAAAGACTTTGAAGATTGTAAAGAGTCTCGAGAGCCTATATTACCTAAAGAAACTACAGAATTTAAACGGTGACTCTAAAGGATCCAAAATGTCTAAAGAGTCCAAAGAGTCTAAGAGTCTAAAGAGTCTAAAGAGTCTAAAGAGTCTAAAGAGTCTAAAGAGTCTGAAGAGTTTAAAGAGTCTAAAGAATCTAAAAAGTCTAAGAAGCCTAAGGAACCTACAGAGCCTAAAAATTTAAAGAGCCTAAACAGCCCAAAGAACCTAAAGAGCCTAAGGAAATTAAGGAACACAAAGAACCTAAAAAAACAAAAAACCTAGAGTCTAAAAATTCTAAAAAGTCTGAAGAGTTTAAAGAATCTAAAAGTTTAAGGAGCCTAAGGAAGCTAAAGAACCTAAAAAATGTATTATCTGAAGAGTACAAAAAGTCAAAGGAGTCCTAGAGAGCTAAAAACTATAAAGAGTCTAAAAAGTCTAAAGAGTCCGAAGAGTTTAAAGAGTCTAAAGAACCAAAAGAGTCTAAACAGCCTCAGAAGCTTAAAAGACCTAAATAGAGGCTAAAGAATTCAAAGAGTCTAAAGAGTTTAAAGAGTTTAAAGCCCCTAAACAGCCTAAAGAAGCTAAAGAATCCAAAGAGTTTAAATGGTCTAAAGAGCCTAAAGAGTCTAAAGGGACTAAAGACTTTGAAGATTGTAAAGAGTCTCGAGAGCCTATATTACCTAAAGACCCTACAGAATTTAAAGGATGACTCTAAAGGATCCAAAATGTCTAAAGAATCCAAAGAGTCTAAAGAGTCTAAAGAGTCTAAAGAGTCTAAAGAGTCTAAAGAGTCTAAAGAGTCTAAAGAGTCTAAAGAGTCTAAAGAGTCTAAAGAGTCTAAAGAGTCTAAAGAATCTAAAGAGTCTGAAGAGTTTAAAGAGTCTAAAGAATCTAAAAATTCTAAGAAGCCTAAGGAACCTAAAGAGCCTAAAAATTTAAAGAGCCTAAACAGCCCAAAGAACCTAAAGAGCCTAAGGAAATTAAGGAACACAAAGAACCTAAAAAAACAAAAAACCTAGAGTCTAAAAATTCTAAAAAGTCTGAAGAGTTTAAAGAGTCTAAAGAATCTAAAAAGTCTAAGAACCCTAAGGAACCTAAAGAGCCTAAAAATTTAAAGAGCCTAAAGAGCCTAAAGAACCTAAAGAGCCTAAGGAAATTAAGGAACACAAAGAACCTAAAAAACCAGAAAACCTAAAGAGTCTAAAGATTCTAAAAAGTCTAGACAGCCTACATTATCTAAAGAGCCTAAGAATATGGAGAGTATAAAAAGTCAAAGGAGTCCAAAAGGTTTAAAAACTCTAAAGATTATAAAGGATCTAAAAGATCGAAAGGGTCTAAAGAGTTTAACGAGTCTAAAAAGTATAGAGTCTACAGAATCTATTGGTTCTAAAAATTCGTCAGAGTTTAAAGAGCCTAGAAAGTCCAAAGAGTCCAAAATTTCTAAAGAGTCTAAGAGTCTAAAAAGCCAAAAAAGGCAAACGAGCCCAAAAAGCCCAAGAAGCTTAAAGAGTCTAAACAACCTAAAGAAGCTAAAGAAGCTAAAAATCCAAAGAGCCTTAAGAGTTTAAATGGTCTACACAGACTAACGAGTCTAAAGGGCTTAAAAAGTTTAAAGATTATAAAGAGCTTGGAGAGCCTATATTACCTAAAGAGGCTACACAATCTAAAGAGTCTAAAAAGCCTAAGGAACCTAAGGAATCCAAAGAACTTAAAAACCTAAAAAACCTAAATAGCCCAAAGCGTCTGAAGAGTCTAAAGGGCCTAAAGAGTCTAAAATTTCTAAAAAATCTAGAGAGCCTACATTATCTAAAGAGCCGACAAAATCTGAAGAGTCTAAAAACTCTAGGGAGTCCCAAAGATCCAAAAACTCTAAAGAGGCTAAAGAGTTTAAAGAGTCTAAAGAGCTAAAAATGCCTGAACAGGCTAAGGTGCTTAAAGGGCCTAAACAGCCTAAAGAGGCTAAGAGTCCAAAGAGACTTAAGAATTTTAATGGTCTAACGAGTCTAAAGAGTTTAAAGAGTCTAAAGAATCTAAAGAGTCTAAAGAGTCTAAAGAGTCGAAAGAATCTAGAAGTCTATTTGAAATTTGCTAAATCGAGAAATTGAAAAATCTCAATACTAAAATGTATAAAAGTTGAGAAATCGTAAAATTGAGAATTCAAAACACCAAAAAAAGGGAAAATTGAGAAATTGAAGAACCCAGAATTCCAAAAATCCGAACATCCAGAAATCAAAAAGTAGAGAAGTTGCGAAATTGAAAAAAAAATTGCGAAATCTACAAATCGAGAATTCGAAACAGCCCAAAATCGAAAAATTAAAATTTAGAATACTTAAATTAAAAAAAAAAAATCGAAAAACTGAAAAATCTAAACATCGAAATTGATAAATCGAGAAGTCGAAAAATTTTAAAACAGAAAAATTAAAAAATCAAAAAATGTGAAATTTAAAAAACGAAAAATTAAAAAATCGAGAAACTCAAACATCAAAAAAACAAGAATGAGAAATCAAAAAATCTGAAATTTAAGAAATCAAAACATGAAAATGTCAAACTGAAAAATTGAAAAATTCAAAAACCAAATATTTTAAAATTGAGACATCAAAGAAAAGCCGAAAAATCGATAAGCAGAAAAATCCCAAATCCGAAAAATCGATAATTTGAAGGGTCAAGACATTAAAAAATCAAAAAATCGAAAAACAGAATATTAAAACGTTCGAAAATCGAAGAAAAATAGAAAAATCTTCCGGAAAGTCAAAAAATCGAAAATTGAGATCGAGAACTCGAGAAATCATAAAAAGTAAAAAAAATAAAAAATTGAAAAAGTATAGAACGGAATTAAAAGTGTGAGAAATCGAAACATCTAAAAACCAAAGAAAAATCGAATAACTGTACAATTTTGATTTTTTCCAAACGCTAACCAAATTAAATTTTGGTTAACGTTTTACCATCTACACAATAATCCTAGTACACATATAACAAAAAAAAGAAAACGGAAACGGTGACCTAATTTTTCGTACTCTGGGGGTTATGAAACGTCGCGAAAACGTAAAGTAGCCAAACTCCCTGAAAGGGCTAAAGACTCCCCAGATTCCGCTCTGTACTAGAGTAGACTTTAAAGAGTATATAGAATTTAAAGACTATAGACTAAAAAGCCTAAACTGCCTAGCCAATCTTAATGACTCTATTCAATCTAGAGAGTTTAGGGTGTTTAGGAAATTGGAACTTTAAGAATGTAGGAACTAGAGAGTATGGAAAAACCACGGAATAATCTACAGAGCCTTTAGACTGGAAACAATTTTGAGTATCTGGAAACCCTAGAAGCTCGAAATTCTATAGAATCTAAAGAGCTTAGAAAGTGTAGCAATTTTAGAGGGTCTAAAGAATTTATGAAGTCTAAGGGATATAGAGAATATAGAAAGTATAAAAGGCTTAAAAGTCTGGAAAGTCCAGAAAATTATTTACATTTTTACTTTCGGTAATTTTTGACTTTCAAATGTACGTGGAAAATCCTGTAGCAATTTTAGCACTTTTGTTAACTCTGGAAGAACTGGCGGGCTAAAAATTATGAACAAAATCATGTTTGCACAGGAATGATAGTTTTGGAAATATTCGGATCCAAAAAAAAATTTCAAAGTATGTATCTCAAAATTTATAACGTTTCGTTCCGAAAAATCGTAACAATTTTTGAACAAAATCAAACCGTAAAGTCTTCTGGGGGTCGAAATCAACAGAACAAATCCTTGAAAAATTTCACACTGATGGTAAAACTGCTTGAAAATACAGAGAAAAATATAAATAAAACGAACTGAAACAAAAACACGGTTGCAGGTGACCTTCAAAAATCCTGAAACAATGATGCATTTTCCAACCATGAAATGCTTTAAAGCACTCTGTTTCAAGATTTTCCTTTTCAGCGTCCTTTCCAGCTCCGTCCCAACGCCGCTAATGAATTTCTCAAGCCTGCCATAAATTATCGTTAATTGCTTCGATTTTCATCATAGATCATAATAATTATGAAGTAACTGGATATTGATTAGCAGTTTTATTACCGCAAAAAAAGCCTCCACAATCCATACACCTGCACAAGCAAGAAAAAGTGCATCAGAGCTGTCCAAGCACGTCTAATAATAAATATCAGGAAGTGATGCCGTCGACGGCTATAAAATCCATCCGAGCAGCTTTTGCGTGCACCACTTCACGATTCCAATTTCCAGCACGAAGAGAAAAATCCGAGGCGTTTTTTTCGTGCCAACTCCCAAAATAAACATCGTTATTAACTAAATGGCTTTTAATTTAGGAAGTCCTGAAAGCGATCCTACCTGAAAAATCGAAACATTCCAGTTTTTTGTGCCGTCTTCGACAATCGTCAATAACAGAGTTGTTATTATGGTGGGAAAAAAGGAATGAGGGGTAATTACGTAACAATGTTGGGATTATCATAACCGTAGATGGTATTTCTTGGGATAAGTGAGCCAGATCGGTAAATAGTTGCGGCAATAAATCGAAGAAGACGATCCCTGTAATCGCTGACTCGAGTCATTACTTCTTTACTTTTCCTGGTAGCTGAGGCTATTTACGAAGACGTTATCAACTGAAAAACTCCATGTGATGGATACCATATTTGTATTGAGAGTACTGCCATTTTTGAACGGATCGACGCAAACGTGGTCGTAAGGACAAATGCTTTATAAAGGTGTTCGCTTATTAATGCGGCCGGCGAAAAAAACAGATAAGAAACGGACGATAATCAATGGCCATTGTTCTTGCCACTGAAAGCGATACCTAGGGAAGAAAAACTCCGCAAAACTAGTACCAGCCCGACTTTCGCTGGCCGTCGATTCGACGTCAATTAGCTTTTTATTGATTGACCAGAATATAAAATTAGTTGTTGTTAGGTTTGGTGTGATTTGTTAACAGATAAACTTTTAAGTCGATACCGTCCGTAGGCGTATAACTGTTTGGGCCCGCGGCTGTTTCGACAGGCGTTAAAAACGTCTTAAAAATCTGTTCACTTTAGCAGCACGATTTCCATAATTACATATAATTTCCTCTGGAAAAACAACATTTTTTTCGCCGTCCGGTGACAGCGACGTCTAATTGGACAAAGGCTTTTTGCCAACGAGACCATTATCGTGGAATATCAAATGACGGAGCGATGATTCATGAGCACAGTCAAAATCCTCATCTAAGGCTTTTTTATCGGCGGGTTAACATTAGAGGCGCTGTTTGCACTGTCATCGGTAAAGAGTGGCTTTTTGCTGCTCGTGTCGGATAATTAAGACAGACGGGCAAAAAGTGCGATTAAGGACGACTTTTATGCAAAATGGCTGGTTGGTATGACGTGGTGCAAGACAATTCATCTATCTTCCTTACTAAGCTGTCTTTAGTCATTCTGCTTTTGATTTTTGGTTTGTTTTAACTGCTCCATTATTTTTATTTCTTATTCTGTCCATACTTCCCGAGCATAACTTAAGGAAGTATTGCAATCGAGTTCATCGGGAGATTGGCTACTTTACGTTTTTGCGACGTTTCATGACCCCTAGAGTACGAAAAATTAGGTCCCCGTTCCCGTTTTCTTGTTATATGAGTTCTAGGATTATAGTGTAGATGGTAAAACGCTAACCAATATTTGGTTAATCATCCCCACCAACAATAAAATGACATCACCTCCAAAATTTATATTAGTAAAGGTTCTTTAAATTTTATAAATTTATATTTTTTCCTGCACTTGTCGTTTACGAATTCGCGTTGAGTTTTGACCCCCAACATACAGATTTTTGGAAAAAAATTAAAATTGTACAATTATTCGTTTTTTCTTCGGCATTTAGATGTTTCGATTTCTCGATTTTTCAAGTTTCGATTTCTCAATTTATCGATATTTGATTGTTGAGATTTTTCAATTTATCGATTCTTTAATTTTCCGATTTTTTGTTTTTTCAATTTTTCATGTATTTGATTTTTTGAATTTTCCAGATTTTTTGACTTTTTCAATCCTCGAAATTTCAATCTTTATACTTTTCGATTTTTCGATTTTTGATTTTTCGAATTTACGATTTACTCAGTTCTTAGAATATTCATTTTTTTTAATTTTCAGTTTCTCATATTTTCAATTTTTTTTTATGATTTTTCGAGTTCCCGATCTCAATTTTTGATTTTTCTATTTTTTTTCGATTTTCGAACTTTTTAATATCCTGTTTTTCCGATTTTTTAATTTTTTCGATTTCTCGATTTATCAAAATTTCAATGTTTCGATTTTTAAATTTTTCGATTTTTTTCTAATTTAAATATTTCAAATTTTAATTTTTCGATTTTGGGTTATTTTGATTTCTCGATTTGTAGATTTCTCGATTTATTTTCAATTTCTCGACTCCTGGACTTTCTGACTTCTGGATGTTTCCGTTTTTGGAATTCTGGGTTCTTCAATTTTTCGATTTTCCCATTTTATGGTTTTGAATTCTCAATTTTTCGATTTCTCAACTTTTATACATTTTTAGGATTTTTCAAATTTTCAATTTTGATTTTTTGACTTCCCGAAAGATCTTTCTATTTTCTCGATTTTCGAATTTTCGAT